GCTTGTCGCTATCTTGCTTCGTTCTCGAGATCTCAGGGGGGGCGGTCATCCGCCCCCCCCCGTCGGTACTAAGTTGGCGCAGACCCCCGTCGGTGCGCGGGTTAATAGAACACAGTGCAGTGCAGAGAGCACATGGAGCGTGCATGATCTGAGCGTCCTGCACGCCGTGCAAAAGTGGTCACCGGTCAGAGCTATCGTTCATCGGTACGGGTCATTACATATAGCAATGAGCGCAGGTGAGACGATTTAGACCCGACTGGCTCGGCCGATCGCTCGAACGCCGGACTGACAATGCCCGACCGACCGACCGACCGACCAACCGACCGACCGACCAGCCGCCTTCACATATCAGACGACCCCAAATGTCATAGCTAGACAAACTATCTCCCGAAGAAATGTGACATATATGTGTAATCCGGTAGCACCTTTGGTGCTGCACACCGCCTGTTATACTCGGCCGTCTCTCGGTCGTAGCCGGCGGGATCTGTGATCACTGGTCGGTGAAGTTTTCAGTTACGAGTATGATGTCTAGACTGGCGAGTCTGCTCTCTGTCACGGAGCTCAGGGCTCGGCCCGTTACAGATGACCCAGTCTGGCCGCCGGTGGAGGTGACAGCTGTCACCCGTCATGTGGCAGCTCTGAGCCAATCAGAGCACACTGTGACCGGTGTCGGGCCGGCTGTCACCAGAGGCCGGCCCAGGGCGGGATCGGGACCCTCTCGGTCAGGGCGGTCGCGCCCAGCCGCCCGCGCCGCATTCCACCTGTTTCACGCGCTGTGACATTCGTTAGGGACCTTTCGTAGCCGCCTGATGCATCAAATCGAATCACATTGGGCTGTCACCCACGGCGGCGCTGATGGTTTCTTCAAATCACCGTCACGTCGTTGGCACATTCCCAGACACGGCTTATTCATCACATGATGGGGAAACAAAACATTACAAATAATCGAGCGGCACTCATGTCAATTGGCTTCAGAGCAGCCTTCAACCCAAACAAAGCTAGCATTGTGTGATGAATTTAATTAGGTACCATTGATGATACAAATATTTTATTTTATATGAATGACTGTCCTAAAAGAATTGATAAAGACACCACACACAGAAAAATATTGACACCGTTAGCGGTGTAATTGCACAGTACATATCTGAGCACTTGAGGAAAGTTAATTTAGTCCCTTCCCCGCTTAAATTACTCGCGCTTCGAAATGAACACCAGGAAGAAGGTAATAGAACACTGTTAGGAGGGTTGGGTGTTTTACTACGTGTAGCAAAACACCCAACCCTCCTAACAGTGTTCTATTACCTTCTTCCTGGTGTTCATTTAGAAGCGCGAGTAATTTAAGCGGGGAAGGGACTAAATTAACTTTCCTCAAGTGCTCAGATATGTACTGTGCAATTACACCGCTAACGGTGTTAATATTTTTATGTGTGCAGAGCACGTCTCTCACGGGAACGAATATGAATGAATTAGTTTCTGCAATGTAACATCGCATATGAGACGAATAAAAAAAACGTCCAAAACCCCGAGTCTTTCAGAGCCTAGTATAATACTTAAAAGACCCTCATTATCACGATCGAGAACGATCATGCCAGAGAGAAAGTGATAGAGATTAGAGAGAGAGAGAGAGAGAGAGAGAGAGAGAGAGAGAGAGAGAGAGAGAGAGAGAGAGAGAGAGAGAGAGAGAGAGAGAGAGAGAGAGAGAGAGAGAGAGAGAGAGAGAGAGAGAGAACGAAAGAAAGAAAGAGAGAAAGGGGACAGAGAGAAGAAAGAGAGAATTGTTAATCGTGGCTCAGTCGTAGGTAAACAGCACATGCGGGAGGGGGTAAATTTGGACGTCACTGGAAAACGGTAGCAGTACCGGTTCAAAGGGCTCGGCTGGACCGGACTGTGTGTCTTTGTGTGATGAGCAGTTGTACGGTGAGTGTCTCTTTGTGATAAGCGGGTGAACACGCCGACCGACGGGATCCGCCGTCACGCGGCCACCGATCGTGTAGTGCGCCGTGACCCGACCGACGGGCCCCCTTCATGTCACGGCGGTCGGAGCGTGATACGAACTGGCGGGCGGCGTCACGGCTCGGCTCGGCTGCCCGCCACCCACCGGGGCGCTCAGGTCATATATGTGACACGGGTCACATAGGTTACACAAGTTACACATGTCACGAAAGTGGCCACAGCTACAGGTAACACTGGTCAATGGTCATACGGGTCATAAAGGTCACCAAAATCTCAAAAGTGACCACATCTCACACAGATCATATTGGTCACAGGTCATCGTGGTCATACAGTTCGTATGATTTACACAGGTCACACTCAGAAAGGTCATCACGTAGGTCACATAGGCCATAGCTCATATAGGTCACATATACGGACCAGTATAACGCCTTATGGGGCGACTAACGGAGCGAGCGAGGGGGTGAGTCTTGCACGTGCGAAATTTCGAGGGGGTACCTCCAACTGACTTGTGCACGGCACCCTACTAACCGGTCTCTAGCGATGTGCCAAATTTGGGCACAATCGGCCCAGCCGTTCTCGAGATCTGGAAGCGGCACCCTGCACGTGCGCACGTGCAAAATGGGTCCCAACTGACTTGTACACGGCACCCTACTAACCGGTCCCAAACTGTGTACCAAATTTGAGCGCAATCGGTCGAGCCGTTCTCGAGATCTGGAAACGACCCCTGCACGTGCGCACGTGCAGCAGCACCCCAACTCTGGCACATGGATATGCAGTGCCTAGTGGGTGCCTACCTACATGCCAACTTTCAGCGTAATCGGCCAAGTAGTTACCGAGATATTGCAACAATTGCAAAACTGACACCTCTTCGTTTTGCACGTGGCACGTGCATAAGGGGTCACCCACATGCATCGGGAATAGTCCAATACTTGGTAGAAGGAATGAAGCTACCCTACAAAAATTACCGCATGTAAATCGGTCAAGTGGTTGCTGAGATATAAGCCTCGCAAAAGCGTCCGCACGGCCGGCCGGCCGGCCGGCCGGCCGGCCGGCCGGCCGCTCATACTCAGAAATTTCCGTTATTCTACGTAAGACTCCGCTCGCTTCGCTCGCTCCGTAATGACACAGGTCACACAGATTGCGTGGGTCACATAATATGCGTCTGTTCACCTAATTCAAACAGGGCGTAGGGCGTGTTTCGCCAAAGCCACACAAGGATGCCCCAAAATTCCAGGCCTTTGTCGTTTAGCTAACTCATAAATGACACAGGAACCCAGCATACACCTTGAGATTCGACACTGGATAAAACAGAGGAGCTCTGGGAAAAGATTTTAAATTGTTATCTCAGTATATTTTAGCAGCCCTACAACATATGGCATATGAAAGCGATGAGTCCTTTTCTATGTACCTTTCATGTAGCTGAGTGTTATGCTAGTTATTATGTGCCTGTGTGGGAGCCTCCTAATTTATGGATTGATAAACAGGTCGAGGTGATGCTCTGACTTCCGAGGTTTGGAAAATATAACACAAATTGTGATAGATATGGCCCTTTTTCATCCAATACATCGTCTTCACGACACATCGTGAGGAAGTTCCACCTACCAACTACCGCAGCGCGTCATTGTTCTTAAGTAAACTAAAATATTTAATGAATATATCAGCGGATGTAAATAATCATGCACGTCTTAATGAACCTGAACCGTGTGAGTGCGTATTTTGCAAGTGTGGTAGCCATTTGACCAAGCATGCTCAATTGCTCAGCTGTCGTTAATTTTTCTAAAATTAAGCACTGGAAAGTTAAGTAGGTATCATGAACGGGTCCAGAAAAAGGTAAATTTCATTCGAGTCAGTCGCTGCGCTAGATCCGCTGGTGAGAAGAGACAGACATATTTTTTTTTTTGCGAAACGGCGTTGAAGGAAGTTTATTTGGTCTGCTAGCTTAAATGAGCTGTCTTCTCAGAAAGTGGAATTCCTGATTAAGTGTTCGATTCCAAATCAGAGGAAAGTTTTACAAAATAAAACAAAATTACTCGCTGTCGATATTTTCTAATTTCTATTCTTAAAAATATCCCACAACCCAAACCAACCATGGACGAAAAAAAAACGCTGATATCAAAACTTGTAGGTACCTATACAGGTATTACTCTGAATGGTTGATAATACTTTTTCGTATCAGGAATTATTAACTATTTTTCGCGTGGCATGTGAATTGTGAAATTCGAGGGCAACTTTAGATCGAAAACAGGCACCAAGGCAGCCGCGCAATTCTTCTGACGGTAAAACTGATCTAAAAAGTAACTCACGCATTATGTAGGTACACATTCCATGATTTAAAAAATGGATTGCTCTTATTTTGAAAAATGAGGCATATTTATCCAGTATGGTAATTACCGTTGACCTCAAAATCAGCCCCAGCACAGGTTTGTATTCTGAGTGTCCCGGGACATCCAATGCCTGGCCGGGCGCTCTAAGTGCCGTCGGGTTGCGTGGGTCGGTGACTCCTTCCCACAGAGGCGCTGTGACAGCCGCCCATCAGTGGCCGCCCGCGGCGAGTGCCCATCAGAGCGGCGGCACAGCGTGAGAGGCCGCCGCCGCACATTGACAATTTCACGGGTGGCGACGAGCGTCACCCCCTCCCCCCCCCCCCCCCGACCCGTCTCCGGCCGGCGCCACCCACTGGCGTCGACTGCGACGGCGACGACGGCGAACCGGGGCGCGCCCCGCCGCCCGGCCGCGTGCTCCCCATTGGCTGGTTCCGTCGACCGACCTCCGCGACGGCCCCGTCGTCGGAGCGGCAGCCTCCCGCGCCCGACGGCCACCCCTCTTAGGGGGCTGTTTTATTGGCGGCGCGGGTTTTATGATGACCCCTAAGGTCTCGTCATGCACAAATCAGTAACGCTCCACTTGTATATCGAGCGACCCCGAAGCATCAGACGCGGCGAAGCTCCCCACCGCTCCACTACGGAACGCCAACATAAAACCCAGCCAAAGCGTTCGTCGGCGCGCGGCAGACAATATGTTGACGGTAATAGATGTTTGCCGCAGCCAATCAGCGGCCAGTATCTCGCTCCGCAGTCATGCCCCTCGCCTCGGGGCTCGACGCACGTAACCTCCCTGCCATGCGCCCGCCAAATATGGTAGCGGTCGTCATGGTAACGGGCAGTCGGTGTCAAGGTTCAGCCGGTGTTGTGGCAAGTCCATCAGATGCACGGCGGTGCGGCCGCGGTGAGGGTCGGATCCAGGGCGGGCGGACGCGCGGCGCTAGTCGAGCAGCGGCGAGTGAGGCGAGCGCAGCGCTCCGGTGGTCGGTGGTGGTAGTGACTGAGCGGCGCGGCCGGGCCGGCCCGCGCGAGCGCGACCCAGCACCGTCGGCGACCCATGGTCGATTCAAACATGGCTCTGGTCATTCCGAGCTCGGGGTGGCGAGACCCGTCTCAGCAGCCCGCCCCGCTGGCGCCGACTACAGACGACCTGACCCGTGACCTCTCTGTGACTCCGGTGTCGCGTGAACTGTCGCTGACGCCCACCACCCCCAACAATCACTCGCAAGAACAGTTAACCCCCACGCAGACGCCTACTCAGAGTCAAGATCCCAACAGTCCGTCCAAGGACGGCCAGAACATCGAGTGCTCCGTTTGTGGTGACAAGTCCAGCGGTAAACACTACGGACAATTCACGTGCGAAGGTAAGCTAGTCGAGTTCCCTTTCTAAACGGATTTTTGCTGGCCAGCCGGCTTGGCCGGTTTTTGTGCTGATATCTATCGCGAATCCTCATCAGGATTCGGCGCTGGCCACCGCAGAAGGTCAGGTCCCAAATAGCGTCACCGGCCGGCGTCCAGCACCGGTTCTGCAAGTAATCGCGGCGCCGCGCCGCTCGCCGGCCGATGGTCAGCGGCGAGGTCGTGCCGGCCGGCCGATGGCCGCCCCGTCCGGACCCATCGCCTGCCGGGCCGGGGACATGTGTTGCCGGCCGACCCGCGGGCCCGCCGCCCCGGGCCGGCTGCAACACAGTCATCCTGGCCATTGTGCGGGCGGAGGGCCGGGCCGCGGACAGGCAGTGCGATAGCCTCGGGCCGCGGCGGCCGGCCCGTCTCGGCCCGGCCGGCTGACCGGAGGGGTCGCCGCTGCCTGGCGCAGCGATCTCGGCCGAGTGGGTGGTCCCCGGCCGGCCGGCGGCCGTAGTCTGCGTCAGATGCTTTACTAAATAGCTTATGCGTAGATTATTTTATATTCCGCGGCCAGTTCATCTGCACAGAACTTTACTCTGAATGCTGTCCGCGAAAGTTGATTTGCAGTATGAGTGTCAAGGGCGGCGCCAGCGCAGTTTTATTTTGTGTGGATTGATAAATAATGACGTGCGACGAAAATGCACTCGCTATACCTACCTACTAAAAAATGAAAACGGAGCAGAAACAAAATTGGGCGCTACAATTGTGAAAGTGAAGTGAAAAGTTGCATTGGCCGAAAATCTGGCACTTTATTCTTTTTTTCTTCTTTCGTTCATATTTTTAGTTGAACCTTTTTCTGTCAGTTTAACATATTTTAACTTTAACCATATACTTATGCAACTTGTAAGTAAATACGGCTACACTTTCCATAATTTCTCCCATAATTCCCGGTAGTTCAACATTGATGTATGGACGAAACAGACGGTCGCGCGGCTGCAAAACGTTAACGCGTGCGTGCATTCGATGCTAATAAAAATGTACCGTCACATGCGTGAAGCGGTATGGGTAAATATGGCAACGCGCGCATTTTATTTTGCTGCTTCTCGAATCAAGGCGCTTCGTTCCCAATGACCCCATGTCGAATTAGATCTGTAAGACACAGATCGTCAGCGTTGTGTTTGTGTCGTCCATCTCAATTTAAAAATAACAGGTCTGGTAAATCCAGATATAAACAAAGTATTTTTTGTTGTTGCTTTATAGTAAGGGTTAAGGGTTAAGGGTTAATTTTGCTGTTTGCACCGTCAATGTGAAGGCTGTTGCCCCATTCTTATCGTATGTTTGTTACGCTAGTTCACCTTCCTTCCCCAAACACAAGCCCACAGCAAAAACGTTTCGGTTAGCAGTACAGCGGCTGCCATAATTCCATTGCCGGTGTCCAACGGCCGGCGCGCTGCTCGAGTAAATACATATGTATGTGCCCTCGCGGTGTGGCCAGACAGGTTCTTCATTTGCCAAGGCCGCTCAGTTCTTGCCTCACGGGCGACAGCGTATTTTTCACAGCCACACTCAGTCGTGCACTTTTTTCGTCAATGTGTCGTGGCGACTCGCCGCGGTGCTTACCCGGACGTGGCCCGCGGGCCAAACAGGTCGTGATATAACACCGACTAGGATGGCCGGTTTGAAACGGGCCGAGGGTATAAAACGTGGTTTCAAACGGTATCAGTGCTTAAAATGGACTGAAATATACACATGTAACACGTTTCTAGGTGTGAAACGGAGTGAGCTATAACGTGGGGTCTGAAGGCGAAGTAAATCGGTGTATAACACGGACCGGGTTATACCAAGTGGCACGGACCATGGTCGGTCCAGGGTGCGATACGGACCAGACCGGTCCGGTCCAGCAGACCGAGGATGGACCTGCTCGGTCCCGGCGCCGCACTGCGCTGACACGGCACCGAATCACTATTCAGACGCCGCTGCGGCTCGCATTCACCGTAAACGCGCCGATTAAAGAAATCGCCTTAATTACCATTTAATTTGCTGCTCGTTTGAAGCTCGCCGCTTGGTCGCACACGCTTAGCGTGCCCTTTCATCGTAAACCGTCGCGGCGTGCCGAGGCGGGTCAGCCACGGACTAGCGGGTCATGTTCGGGCTGTGCCGCGGGCCGGGAGATCCTCACTGAGGTGAATGTGGATTGTGGAATATGTGTGCCGACCGGCACTTTGTATGTACAGCGCTTTCGGCCCTGAAACGCACCTTCCGCCGTTAGGACGTCGGTCAAGGCAGTCATATAATGTCCCATGCCCTGGTAATGATTGTCTACATTGCCCTGGACTACAGTTTACATGTGTGCTGAAATTTAGGACTATGCGTAATCTGTTTGATGGGTTGTTCGGAGCTAATCGGTCTCTACAACATAAATACCTATATGCCATCCTCCCTGACTAGCCAATATGAGTGTCATTCGATGTCTGTGTTAATTTTTTCTATCAAAACCTCTTTGGATTAGGAACATAATAAAAGTGATATAAAAGCTCATTCAAACTAATATTTACGTATGAATGTAATATAACTGAGAGTGACGTATAGGTATACCTACCTAATTTATGTAGGTATCGTATTTATAATCAAATATGAAAAGGTATATTTATATCGCACTTGTATTATAACAATAAATTGTTTTCTTTTGTCGTATTGGTTTGCCATACTGCGTTGATCGAACAGCAAGCAATTTTACTGATATGGAAAGGTTGCTTGTTTCATTCTAGGTTGTCCGTTCAGCACGTTCAGGTCTGCGACTGTTGGTTGCTGTGTTGGGAGTCAGTCAAACCGAGACAAACGCCGGCGCCTCTAACTATGCTGTTTCAGCTCAGCGAAATCAGTGCTTGGGTGCATACTTTTGCCCGAAACTAACTGTCGTCCCTCTGCCCCGCAGGTTGCAAGAGTTTCTTCAAAAGAAGCGTACGAAAGAACTTGACGTACGCGTGTAGAGGCAATCGAAACTGCCCCATTGATACACATCACAGAAATCAGTGCCAGTTCTGTCGACTACGAAAATGTCTCAAAGTTGGCATGAGGAAAGAAGGTGAGTTCGCAATGGCTGGTTGGAAGCATGCTTTGTCAAAAGGGTCCTGCCTGGTTGATGCTTACATTGATAGTGCATTTGAAGCGAACTTTGTTTCGTTAACACTTAACGGTGTTTGTAGGTAAGATTCACTGCGCGAGGCTCTATGCTTGACTCTCACATAAACCTTGACTGCTTCTTAAGACCGGGGGTGGTAAGAGGTTCTTGCATTCATCACACAAAAATGCGCCTCAGCTGGAGAGAAGGGATTAAAAACGCCGTCATGGGTCGAGCAAGGACAGGTGGGGGTGGGATTAATCCGCGTCGTCACCCCCTTCCCCACCGCGGGGGGGACTGTGGTTTGGGGTCCCTGGCCCTGAACGTAGATTATGACTTTCCTAGCCGGTCACTGACTGCGACTGGCCATAAAAATTAGCCGCCTGTTACGTCGCGGTCCAGCCGTTCCTGAGCCCCTATCACCTTCTGCCGAGGACTAGGCTGGGAAATGCTGAGTCGGAGGAGGGCACCGGAGTTCGGGGATGGGAGATCAGATTGGTTGATTAGAGGTCTCTGGAATAACTGCGATGTATTAAGATTATGCTGTAGCGTATTTAGCTTGCCAACTCCCAGTAGCGCCATCAAACCGAACATAGCTAACCCACTAGCGGACCATAGCTAAGCAATCTATGTGATATTGTATAGGTAGCTTGCTGGCCAAAGCTTCTGACGAAGTCGAAAACGTGCAGCCCTATTTGCTGAAAACGCACTCGCTTTATGCTTTGCATCGTGGGTGCCCATAGAATGATGAACAAGCACGCATCTTTCCTGTTAAAAAAAAAATATGTCCTATCATTTACCGTATTTGTGACATTCTTTCGTTTTCCGTTGCGCTTATACTCAATGGGTGCTATGCCATGAATGCCAATGGCATCATGCAAGTGTATACTCATCATGAATTATTTAAAGTGGGTCACATGTTCTTGTGGATAAGTGCACCTGTGGTTAAGTAATCCTTCTTATACCGCGTTCTGTTTCCTTTCAGGACGATTGGACTATGTTTGTAAGTGACAAATTTTCATTAACATTCTTGTGGGGCTCCTTCACGGAACTAGATTTTTGTGGCAAAGCTTATCCGTTAAATGGTGCGAGCTGCTAGATTATCACACAGTTCTTATTCTTCGTGCCTCTTCAGTGCATTGTTATGTGACAAAAATGGGATTAGGCGAGCGGGTAGATCTTCTCGAGATCTCTCGGCCAACAATGGCCCGGAAAATCACTGAACGGGGCCACTGCCGCCCCACGCAGCTGTCTGAGTGGGACGAACCGGCCACGCTGATGACCGACTGTTTCCTGCGACCATGTGCGATCAACTCGCACCCGTGCACGCGGGAAAACGAACGGGCTGGACGTGGTTCCGCTCAAAGTATGATTGCGGTATTAATAATGCGCTGCTGCCCCCAAGCTGTCCAACTTTTTTCTCAGTTTGATGCGATGAATCACAGGGCTACGACCAAGTTAAAAACTACGCCGCTGTCGGCTGTTTACACTAATCACGATTAATTTTTTGACATTGTCTGCGCCAGTCAGCACTTGTTTGCCGATAGCAGCTCTGTCGAAGGGACCGTAAGTGGTGAGATCAGCGAGTCTTGTATGAGCTGACTGGACGGGCGCTGAACCTGGTTAGACTGACGTCGGGCTCGGGACGACAGACAGCGGCGGGAGACGTCTGTCTGGTCTGGACTGGGTCGCCTGTCTGGTTCGGTCTGGTGAGCAGTTCTGCTGAGGGCCTTGTCTGCTTGGTCTGGTGAAGTGCCTTTCTGTCTGATCTGGTGAGCGGCGTCTTCTTTGGTCTGGCTAGGGATGCCTTCTGTCTGCAATGGTCAGGGCGCCTCCTCGTCGCATGTGGTGAGAGGCGCCTTCTGTCTGGTTTGATGACTGATGAGGGGCGCCTACTGTCTGGTCTGGCCACGGGCGCCCTCTGACCGCGCTTCCTGCGCCCCGAGGAGGCCCGGTCCGCCGGGGCCGGATGCGCTGCCATGCGCCGGCCGCTGCAGTGGCCGCCGGCGCTATGCATGTGGCCTGCAGGGCTGATCGCGGCCGCGCCGACATCCGGCGGCGGCCGGCGTGGGAACCCACCGTCCTGATGACCACTCAACATGCCACCTAACATACCCACCCGGCCGGCCGGGCCCGCCGGCGACTGACTCAGGAGCGCGCCCTCGGCCGAGGGGTGGCCTGTCTGAGCAGCGGGCTGGATCGGGCGGGTATCAGCGGTCTGTCTGGCGGCGAGGGCCGCCGCCGGGCGCTGGCCGTGATTCAGAATTGGGTGCCGAGCGGTGTGCATGTTAGGTCGCCTTCCCACCGCCGCGCCGAGCCGGCTGGCTGAGGCGCCCCAGATCGGCTCCGTACGGTTCGACACCATCCCACGCGCTCCGTCACCCTCGGGCAGTTATTAATGACGCCGAATACCTGTTGTCATATTTAACCGGCGGCCGCTCCGTGAGAAATATGGTCGTGTCGGCGACCGGCGTTCGAATGCTACAAATGAGCGAACCGGAGCCGGCGCGGCGGTGACCGGTTTCCCACCGCTGTCGAACACGACGAATGGCGACGGCTGTCCTCCGCCGCCGCGGGAGGGTCGTCGGGGTGCCGCCGGATGGAGGGTGGCGAGCAGGGGCGCCGCCGCGCCGGTATGTCTGTCTGTCTGCGCCGGCGGCGGGTGGCCGGCCGGGCGCGGTGACGCCGGGGACACCGGACCCGACGGCGCAGTATGCGCGCCGTCGCAGGGGCAGCTGCGACGTGTCGCCGCCGTCGGACCGCCCGGAGCGACGGCCACGCGACGCGCCGCCGTTTATTTGCGTCGCGGCGTGTCGTGTCGCGCGTCGCGCCCGACAGCGGTCCCGCCCGGCACGTCGGGCACTTCCCCCCATCCATTCAATAAAACAGGCGCGGCGCGCGGCCGCAGGGGCGCCGCGGGGCACGGACAAAGACGGCTCTCTCCCCGAGGGGAGCGGCCCGGGGGACGGCGCCCGTTTTGCGGTGGCAAAGTCGGCTCGGTTGGTGACGGGGATAGAACGGCCGGGCTGAGCCGACGGCCTGTCATGACCGAAACAGTCTGTCATGACTGGGTGAAGCGACCGGGGACCGACCGATCAGTCGGTCAGGGGACTGGGGCCGGCAGTGGTGTGCTATGTCGGGCGCATCGGTCCACCCAAACTATCCCTGGATTTTTAGAGTCAGAGAGACAGGTGGATAACGCATTCCGCTCACTGATCCGTCCAGCCTCGCTAAGACCGTACTGCCAGTGGCATTACACGCCAGGTGTGAGGCGGCCGGTCCATCCGTCTGTTCAGTCGCCTGTCAGCGACAAAAGTCCGATACCCCAGTAACGGTCAGCACTCAGCCCTCCCTCGCCCCTCCCCTCCCTCTCATTTGGGCGGGGAGGAGGCACACGGCCTTGTGCCACACAAAACACTCGCCTTGACACATCGGGCTTCTGTGCACCTTTTTCTGAAAACCTGTTCTCGGAGGATGAGCGAGCCGGTTTGTAGCGATATGCCCCCGTCTTAGCGTTAATGTCGAGGTCGCGACTCTGATCGGCTTAGGTGCGACGGTAAGCTGTCCTGTCGGTCAGTCGAGTCAACAGACACCTACGTAGATCGGCGGCTCAACCAGCTGACCACCATTTATGGCTATTATTAGTAATATAAGTGACTAGATGTTCGAAGAAGTGAAAAGTGGACACATTCACTATTATAGTGACGGGGTACCCGGCGAGGTAATAATTATCATAAATGGAAAGTATTGTTAGCATATCGATTCAATCGCCGATAAAAGTCAAGGTTGTGAGAGTGGTGATCTCATACCATTCACCTTTACTTGTCTGATTGGCTCGGTGGCACACATACCTACCCACCAGATGCCAACTCGGCCATCCTGCAGGCTACTCAATGAAGTAATTTAAACAGATTGTGGGCACGTAGACAGTAAGCGGTGCTCCTGGGTCACCGAGGTCAGCGCCGCTGACCTCGTGTGACCTCCAAGGAACGCCGCGACCCGTACGGGCCCGTATCGTCGAACGGTGCGCGTTTGTCGGTCGAGACAGGCCGACAGACGGCTGATGGGCGGCTAACAGACCGCCGACCGGGCATCCTCCCCCTCCCTCCCTCCCGTCCGCCCGCCCCGCCCCCCGGACGGCCGCTTCACGGCGCAGGTCGACCCACGCCAGCTGACCGACTCGGCGCCTAAAACCTGCCATCAAGGCAGCGAGGACATTCGGAGCAGCTCAGCACCGTTCTGGTGCGGCTTACGACCGGTGTGGGTGTCTCTCCTGCCCGAGGCTCTACTCCGCTGCTGAGACGCGCCACGCGGCGGCCGCACCTGAACAGGGGAGCCACCCTGCAGACGCCAGCCGGAATATTTCCAAATTGGCTCGGTAATAACGGCCATTAGCTAGCGGCGGCCGGCACTAAAGTGGCGTAACCTTCCGCGACCGGCGTGGGAACCGATCGTCCGAGCGGCCGCCGCGGCCGCCGGCCAAACATTCATTAATTCGCGCTGGTTCTCATGGCGGCCGGTCGGCGGTGGCCGCCAGCGCCGGTCGGCTGCCTCGGACGGGCCGCCGCCCCCGCCCCCGCTCCGCTCTACAGGGTGTCCGAATAGTTCTGGCGCTTTTCAACATTTTCTAAAACAAATGCCATTGGTTCATAGATACTAATCAATGGATCAAAACAATGACCAGGGACACCAAGCCACATGCTTCCGCTACGTGCTCATTCAATGTAACCACCGTCGGCGCCGACGACGGCCTCGACGTAGGGGAGGAAGCGTCTGCGGGTTTTGACGATGCGGGGCATTTCCAGGTCCTCCCATGCTGTCATGATGCGAGTCTTCAGCGACTCCAGGTTGGGGTGAGAAATGGCCTAGATCCTGTTCTACAAAACGCGTAGCACGCCTTAGTCGAGCGGGTCAGGTTAGGAGAATAAGGCGGCCTAATCTCATTTCGCCACGGTGATCTGGCCCGGCAAGCTCCTCTGTCAGTTTAGCTTGAATGGCGGCGGCGTTGTTGGAGGGTGCTCTGTGCTGTTGAAATGCGAAGTGACCCTTAGGGCATGTCGTCTTGACCCTCGGGTTGATGTGGCTGTCCAGGAACCCCTCGTGGGCCAGCCTGTTATTCATTTATTCGACATTGACGAAGATGATGGGACATTTTTGTCCATCAGACCCCCGCACTTTCTTCGATTGCCGCGTTGAAATGCTGCTCCGTTCCCATATCGCGTTCGAAACGGTCTGAGGATATTTTTTAAGGAATTCCCGAGTCGAAATAAACCTTTACCTGCTAAACCATTCATCGAAAAACGCCGCATCGCGCTGCAACTCGCGCCTCGTTCAAGTCGCACCCGGCCGCCGCGCGCAGGCATTCAGCGACAAGGCGCATCTTCGCCCATCTACCCATCACTGAAAACGATTTCAAGGTCATATTTACACGACCCCTGGCTGAGCAATCAACGAGGGGTCATGTCTGTGATGATTGGCTGAATGTCCAATAATCACAGCGCGCGTTACACAGCGTCCAAAAGAAGCGCCAGGACTTTCCGGACACCCTGTACAGTCGCCGGGCGGCGCGTGCGTCTGGTCGCGTCCTTTCCGCCCTTCCTGAGAATGTATCTCCGGGTCATCAGGAGTATCGTCTAATTGCGATAGCCGAGGTGTAGCGACCGGATCCCCTCCGCCTATCCGGCTCTAATCTTGTTAAACTCCCCTCGCCCGCGCCTCACGCCAGCAGCCGAGCCGGCTCGAGCTTCGGAGACGCGCCCTCTGACCTTAGGGCAGGTGTATGGCGACAACGCGGTGCACCCGAGCGGCACCCGGAGATGCGGCGATATTGTCAATATAGGTCGTGGAAATCACTCGTAATCAGCCAACTGAGAAGATATACGGATGTCGGTCCTTTGAGATACAGAGTGGTCTCACAGTAGCCATCCAATCGGCCGCCAGGGAAGCGCTGACCCTGGGCACAACGCCGGCGCAGCGCCGCGTCTCGCATTCCTTGGTGCGGCGAGTCGGGGCTGCGGCGCGAAGGTGATCTGGCGGTCTGGCACGCAGCTCGCCGCCAAACGAGTGCAATTGTGACGCGACCCGGACGCCACAATGGCACCTGTTAGCCGATAAAGACGACCGATTTTATCAGCTGCGGGGACGGCAGCACGCGCAGGTTTGGGTAACCGACCTGCCGCTCTGGGCTACCTAATTAACCCTACGTAATTACCACCGCCACCAGAGAAAGTGATGGGTAATCCATTGGAGCCATCCTCGGAGCCGCGACACACCGCGACGGCCGTCGTAACAAACGAGTGCGGTTAGCGGGTCGGCGGGAGGACGGGGGAGGCGCCGGCCGTCACCGCGCCGGAGCGGATCCCACCGTCCGCCGACGCGGCCGGCCGAATGGTAATCAAGCGTGCGCGCTGAGCGCGGCAGATGGCGTCGCTCGGCTCGCGCGCGCGACATATGGCTGGGTCGTCAGGCGTCTGTCGCCAGAGCGCCGCCGCAGACAGGTGTCCCGGGTCAACGGACGAGTCCGGCCCGCCCAGCCACGCCCACAGCCGGACCGCGGCCCGGGTCCGCGCTGCCGGCGCACCGTCCTGATGGTCCTGTGGGCTGGGCTGGTCTTGATGGTCCCGTATGGGACTAACCTGGTCCTGATGGACCCCAAATGAGATAGAATCTCAACTGACCAATAAGCGCAGTTTCCTTGAGGCACAGTGGGTGGCAAAACAGTATTACCACTGCGTTATCCGGACTGCGGACGATCGCTCGCTTGTCTGGTCGGCGAGATGCGTTGGTCACCCGCGAGCGGACAGGATACCGTTCTGCTGGGGCACGCGCTTCTCGGCTGCAACCGGGCTGAGAGTGGACCGGTGTGCTCTGCAAGGGGATCCACTCAGCGACAGGGCGGGGCGGGGGCGGGGGCGGCCAGCGACAGGACCGCCACCTGAGACCACCGGGAGGCCGCCGGCCGCCCGGCGGGCGACATCTGCCCAGAGGTTATCTGCTTTTTGCTGATCTCGGGCTGGGGGCGGCGTCACCCGAGTCGGGGGGAGGGGAGGGGGCGGGTGGCCTGTCACGTGCCGCTCTGCAGCGTGATCGCCACGACAGGTCAGGTGACGATCCGACGGTGACTGGGGGACAGCGGCGCGGGGCAAAGGTCGCCGGCGCTGCTAGGTCAGCTGGGGTTGGCACCGAGACGGCGTGGTCAGTGACCTGGTCAGACAGCCACCGTTTGCTCTAAATGACGCTAGTTGTGGCTAAATAGACATATCCCCCTATATTTGTTTAGGTCGCAATGGCTCTGTGATCCGCCGACATGCCCCTCATATTTTTCTGGAGTCAGTGTGTAAACCGATTCCTACCAAACGCTGGTCGAACCGGATCAGGCATCATTCGAAATGGTTCGTCTGGTTCTCGCTGCTCCGTCGCGTGTGCGTGCGCCCGCCTCATCGTTGCGCGTCGCCGCTGCCCGGAGGGTTGGCTCCGGAGGGGTCTGACGGACGTGTACGCCGTGCTCGTGCCGCCCCCCGCCGCACCTCCCGGACCCGCGGCCGCTCACAAACATCCCTGACGTCACCAGACGCCGAGGTCGGCTGTCTCTCACGGCTGCCGAGGCCTCCTCCCATCGGCTCGACAATCGCCGAGGCCCTGTGAATCTCCAGTGGCTTCTCCGCTGCGGCCGCGAGCCGTGATCCCACCGCCGCCGTCTGCGCAGTGAGCCAGCTCAGTTCGGCGCCCGGCCCGGCGGCCAGAGGCCACGCGCGCGCTCGTTTCCTCTCATTAGTCCGGCATTTCCGGATGGTCTTACAACTGCCGAGACAATCAGCATCGGCTGTGGTTATGAGCCGTCGAGTGAGATTTAGGATGTGCCGGCAACGGCCCTTCGTTATGAACATTGAACATCTGTTCACAGCCAGCTGTTACTCGACAGACGGCATCCATGGAAGCAGCACTTCATGTCTTGTCGTTTGTCGTTTTGGCGAATTAGAGCTGGTTACACACCTTTTTTATCCTCAAAGTAACCGCTGCTCTACGAGCTCGCGGAGGCAGGAACAATGTCATACACGTGAGCCAGCTGATCAAACCCCGCTCGGGATAGGACCACTTGGGACCAGGCACGGCTCAAGCTCGTTCGTACCGGTCTCTGACCCGGCTCGCCAGCCGCCTGGTGACAACCAGATGAGTTTGAAAGCCTGATCTCACGAAGGTTGGCGATGCTCCATACGTGCGTGACACAGTTGGATCGAGTGCAGCCCTGTGTCAACACGGCTACCGACCGGCGATGTCAGGCCGGTCCGGTCCGGTACGGGATGGCGGGGTCAGATGCCGAGCCGCTCTGGCCGGGGCGCTGACCGGCGGCCGAGCCAGCAGACACAACAGACAGCTCCTGGTGCTGAGACTGCTGAGACTGCTGAGCGGCGGGTGGTCTCATGTAGCCCATCCTGCGCTGCTGAGCTGGTCACAGCGCATACCTACCCTCGGGCTCAGGTCTCAGACAGGGGCGCCGGCCACCGGACAGCGACCGGGGGTCAGCGCCCTGTCCCGGTCCCTCCAGACGGGCCCCGTCACACTGACCCCAGCTGAGTCTGATCTGGGCCAATGGGTGGGAGCTGAGATAGCATTGGTCAGGTGATGGTCGTCACGTTACAGCTGTAGTCGCGAGTATTCCACATTCCCAGACCAAACAAGCGCTCCTCGCTCGATTACTATGCGGCTAAGCCGTGTCGACCTGGATTGTTGGAGGTGGCCTCGCTGAGTGGCGGCTTATCTCGGCCGGTTAGTGATACCTCTGACTGCTGCTAAGTAGTATTAGCTTCTCCGTAGCAAGCAGATAATAACTCAAGTAGTTCGTCTGCCTTTGCTAACAGTCTATTTTAAATGGCATGCATGGTACAATGCTACTAAGCCTACTATAGGGACTTTCTTATGAATGGGCTAAGGAGTGAAGTGAAAATTATGTAACCAGTTTACCCACATTATTTAGCTATTTAAACCTGTGAACCGGCCTGAAACTGGGAGGCTCAGTCTGACCCTTTTTATCCTATTTGACCCCATTTGACCCAGTCTGAGCATGTACGAACCAAACTGACCCAGCGTGACCCAGTGTGACCAGTGTAACCTGGTCTGACCCGTCTGACCTCTGCTCCCTCTCCGTTGCAGCGGTACAGCGCGGCCGGATACCGGTACCACAGCACGGTATCGTGCCCGGCCAGTTTTTCGCCAACGGTGACGCGCTCAACGGCCACGGCTACCTGTCTGGCTACTCGTCCTACATCAGCCTGCTGCTGCGCGCTGAGCCGTACCCGCCGTCCCACTACAACCAGTGCCTGCAGCCGGGCGGCACCATGGTCATCGAGACCATCTGCGAGCTGGCGGCGCGCATCCTCTTCAGCGCCGTCCAGTGGGCGCGCTCCATCCCCTTCTTCCCCGAGCTGCAGCTGCAGGACCAGGTGGCCCTCCTGCGCTTCGTCTGGAGCGAGCTGTTCGTGCTGAACGCCAGCCAGTGCAGCATGCCGCTTCACGCCGCCTCGCTGCTGGCCGCCGCCGGCCTCCACCCGAGCCCGATGGCCGCCGAACGCGTCATGGCCTTCATGGACGTCATCCGCATGTTCCAGGAGGAGTGCGAGCGGCTCAAGCAGCTGCGCTGCGACAGCGCCGAGTACAGCTGCATGAAGGCCATCGTGCTCTATACGACAGGTGAGTGATAGCCGTGAAGGAGGGTGATAGCGTTGGGGGCACGGGTCACGGTGGGTATAAGGGATGGGCCCGGTGGGAAGGGAGGTCAGGGTGACGTCTCAGGGGAAGGGGCCTGGAGTCTGGATATCGCTCAATGACAGCCTTTGGTCCTGATCTGTATTCCGGGGACTGACGACTCGAAATTCAACCAGCCATGTATAGCAACATTCCACAAGACCACAGATTGGGGGAATCCCATGTTCTTAGATGTCGTTGTCCCAGTGATGAGCGACGGGTCGAGCCAGGTGCGCCGGACCGATAGGCGGGGTCACAATTCCGGCCGAGTCACGGATCCAGCCGAGTGGACCCCAGTCCGGCCAGTCACGCCCGGCCGCTGGGCCCCACCTCAGTGTGGACCTAACACCCTCGCTAATGGGCCTGGGATCACTGTCCGAGAGTACATATAGCGGCGAGTCGCCGGCACGCCGGCACCGTGTAACACGCCCGGCGAGCAGTGCAGGCCGACCGGCCGATCGTGGCTGCACGCTCGGCTGGAAGGCGGAGCGCCATCCTCGCTAATGTGGCCCTATCTGGCGGGGGATCACAGCAGGAACTAGGCCACGGGCCGGACCCCCGGAGAGGCCTGTTCACGAACGGGCCGCGGTTGCATCACGGCACGGTGATCTGATGCGACCGACCGATCGGCCGACCCCGGCCTCGAAGGCGGGGCAGGTCGGCCGGCGAGCAGACCTGATCTGCCGCGCCACTGATCCGTTGCGCCTTGGCCTCGGAGATGACAGTGACACTGGGCCTCTGTCGCCGGCGGAGATGGCTCTGCCATGGAAGGTGCGCGGCTGCTGGCTCACGAATTCCGTGTTCAGTCGAACTGAGCTGCGCCACAAAAACAGCAGCTGGCGATGGCGCTGACGAGACGGGTGGGAACCCTGCTCAGCCACACGAACAACCAGTCATAATAACCCAAAACAAGCTACGGAAGACGAGCCGCGCAACCAGGCAAAACAGCCATGAGTATGATAACGAAAGCCGAAAAGGCGACTGGTGGTTATAATTTCATCACCTTCCAACTCCGCACTGAAGTCAGCGAGGACTAGATTTGGATGGATTCTACATCTTTCGGTCTGTCTCTTCTCACAAGTCATATGCGAGGCTCTTCTGATATTGCGTAACAGCTAGTGAACAGCTTATGAACAGTGTAAGCTGCTCGGCACGGACTGGAACCTCGCTATCTGGGTCCCAATGTCTTGGCCCGCTATCAGGACCTCGCTGTCTGGATCCCGCTGTCTGGAACCCTGCAGCCTGCCCCGCTGTGCACCCCCTCCACCCGTCTCCCTCCCCTGACCGGCGCGGCGGAGGTGGCCGCGGCCCGGGCCGCCTCCCGGTCAGCTCGGTCGTGACGCCCTGCGGCAGACGCCGCGCTGCAGGCCGGCCGTAATTAGACGGCCAGAGCCAGAAGGTCACGAGGCACCGCGGGCCACCGCCGACCCTCCCGGCCCTCCCGACCCTATTGCTTCGGCGCCAGAGACGGCCGAAAGGGCACCTTCGGACGCCCGCTGCATAAGTCCATCTGTCTGTTCGTATGTATGCATTCGCATGCATTTTTGTGTCTGAATTTTTGCATTTGTGCTTGTATGTGTGTATGTCTGTCCGTTGTGATGTGTCTGTGTACGCCCGTGTTCTCATCGGTTGGTCTCAATTTATGTCTGTAAGTCAGCCTGTGTCGGTAAGTCAGTCAGTCCGTGTCAGCGGGTGCCTGTGTGTCCGTTGGGGTCTGGCCCTGTCAGCGGGTGGGTGCCGTCGCCTCGGGGGCGCCCCGGGCGGGTTTTGGCATTCCTGGACGCTGAGCTCGCTGTGTCCGGCGGCGGCCGGCGTCGTTGCGCTCCTCTGTTCGCGTGATGAGCGGCGCTGAGCGTGCGGCGGCCGGCGGGTCGGCCTCGACGCTCCCCGGTCCACGCCCTCCCCGCCGGCGCCCGCAGGGCCACCGCCGATACCTGCCGAGACCCAGTGGGACCTATCGGGACCCCGCGGGACCTATTGGGTCCTACCGGGACCCCGCAAGACCTGCCGAGACCTAGAGGAATCTTTTGAAACCCAATGAAAACCAACGAAACCCACCCAAACACATTGACTTATCGGGACATATCAGAACTCACCATGCCTCAACTGGACACACATGGGCCTACGGGGACACGCTGTGACCTAAAGTAAGCGTGCTAGAACTCAAAGTATCTCCGAAGTCCGATCCCCGTGGAGGGCCCGTTTACACAGACGTACTGGAATTGTTCGTATTCTCAAGTGCTGTAAGTGATGCCACAACTCCAGCTGTGAATCGTGCCAAAACTCTGCACTAAACCAGAAGTTACATTTAGCTGCCCCCTCCTCCTCCCTCCCCGACCACCCACTCGCATAAACAATGGTGTATCTCGGTGGCTACAGCTTGTAGTTGCCGAGCGACTCCATTAACCGAGTGGCGTGTTGTCGCCTTGTCGAGCCGCTGTCCGTCGGTGACCGGCTCACCCCAGCGCGCTTCTATTGACCACCTGCGAGCGAGCCGAGCAGTCGGTCGGTGGGCCGCCGCCGCACCTGACTGAGCGCCATTACGACCTTGTTGTGATTGCGGCGCGACGGTGCAAAAACGGTCCGCGGCGGCGGGCGGGCGGAGGAGCGGCGGCCGGCCGGACCGGTGTGGCGTGTCGACCGGCCGTCCGACCGTCCGAGCATCGGCTGCCGGCTGACCTTCCCGGTCCGGACCGGTCAGCCGCCCCCGCCCCCGCCCCCGCCCCCGCCCGCGCTGCTGAGACAGGGCGGCACGCGCCGGCGGGACCTCTGACTGGGAATCTCTCGTCAGTGACCTTTTGGTAGGAATTTATCGCTAACAACTCTTCTCGGTGGCATTCTCTGGGACCCTCTGTTGACCTCTGTGCTGCACTCTACGACCTGAGCCTGTGCTGTGGGCGCTGATCAATGCTCAGTGCTCAGCACATCGCCTGCAGTGCCCGCGCTATCAGTGCCGGCGTCGGCGTTCGGCTCTCGGCCGGCGCGGGACGAGACCCGTTGGCCCGACCTTGACCCGGCGGCCACCAGGTCACGGTGGACGGCTGGCGAAAGGAGCACCGATAGACGCTCACCGCCGGCTCGTGCACGGTGCACTCTGCACGATTCACTGTGCTGTGCACGGTGGCCGGGCCGCCGACTAGATCTGATTGGAGCTCGGAGCGATTTATGATCGGGTCACACCGTCCAACTGCCCACGAGACGGGCCACTCCGCTCCTTGGTGTTGCTGGAAGGGTAGCGACAGCCAACTACCGTGGGTGGAGTCCCAACAAACTGCTGATCGCAACCGAGCAGAGTTCCATACCGTCTAGTTTGTTTGTGGGTGGTTCCAGATCTGACCAGTCCCGATAAAATACCTAGACACCGCCTTTTCCGATGCCATTCAGTACCGTTATCGTTTTCTCGCCTCCTTCGCTCCATAACTCTCCATTCTCTCGACACCGTGGGCCTCTCACTGGGCAGGACCGGCGCGGCGGCGGCGGCGGCGGCGGCGGGAGGGCGGTGGGGTCAGCCATCGAGGTCACCGCCGGAGCGCCGGCCGCCCCACACGCACCCGATTTATAACCGGGCCGACGACGCGGCGCGCCTGACCCGGGTCACGCCGGCAGCCGGCTCCCTAATTTTCGGCCTTTTGTTTCTGTGTAATCGCTCGATCCGGGGAGCCGGCGGCGCCGCGTTTCACCGCCCGGTGGCCCGCCTGGCCGCCCCGGCTGGCCTCGGTCCCGAGCCGAGCCGATGCTATCGCCTTGATCGCCGCGTCGTGGCCGCGCATCGATCACCAGAAGCGGCACGACGGGTCGGAACACCCGCGAGCACATGGAGCCCATAGAGCACCGCCGAGCACACTCGGCAGACCGCGCAGGACTTATGTGGCGCATACACTATACAGCACGGCTACACGGCAACCAATGGACGGCTTCATAAAAAAATCGTTCATTTGCGCGGGCAACCACCAAGAGGAACTGGACATGCAAAGCAACGCATTACGTCACAGCACATGACACAGCCATTCCTCGCCGGGGATTCATGCGCAGCACGGAGACACTCAGCCCTGTGCGGTGTGCCTGGGTCTCCCTGTGGGCAATCTCGGAGTGCTCAAGTCCCGAGAGTGCCGGAGTCCCTTTCGGTCCGGTTACGACTGCTACTCATGCTGTACCTCCCCGTCAAGCAAGTAGGGGTGGTCCGCGCGACACGGCGGCAAGTCTGGTCATACAGTACACAATGATGACGACATGACAGCGACGCGCGACGCTACATGCATGCCAACGAGAGTACGATGCAGGGGCCGATCGGTGGGCCGGGTCGTAGCGGACAGCAGGGGTCACGGCTAGTTGGGGTCAGACAGTAGACGGGGTCGGAGCAAACGGGAGGCTCGGCGGCAGTGGGAAGGCTGGTGGCGAACGGGTGGAGCTCGGAGGGACGATATCTGTCACCGTCGCACACCGGATATCGGTTCTCGTGTCCCCGATGGCTCGGGTGGTCGCCGGTGCGGACCGACGGCTGACCGGCCGCTGATCCATCAGGCCGACGGTCGCTAATGGCCGCCGTTAAATGGCCGCGTCGTTACCGGCGGGCCTCATCGTCGGCTCGTTACCGGCGCACTACCAAAGGGCTGGCCGGCGGCCATCCGTCAGAGCGGCCGGCCGCGCGCTCCCGCCGTCCCCCGCCGCTCGGCGGCCGCGCGGACGCCAGCGGCGGCGACGATTAGCACGAATTAGCGGCGCCCCGACGGCGGCGACACGCTGTCCGAGTGCTCCTCGCGCCACCCTGGGACGACGTTGATGGTGTTGGGGTGCTGAGCTGGCCAGAGTGGCTGCCCTCGGCCCTCGCCCCGGCCCCGGCCGCCGCCCGCCGCCCGGAACCGTCCAAGCCGTTTGGGCTGTTCACGGTTCGACGGAGGAGCATCTCGCCATTCGAGCGGCGCGCCGCCCACCTGACCCGCCGGCCG